ACAAATATACTTATACAGACGCAATCAATGTTTCCTTGAGCTTCTTAACTCGTGAAGCAATCGATAGATCTACGTACTTATCGCCTATGTTTACTATCAGTCCACCCAAGATTGAAGGCTTTACAGTGTACGAAACATTCAGTTTTTGTCCTGACTTGGCCATCTGCAAAGAAAAACATAAAAGAAGTAAGAGTTATGACGCCGCGAACCTTGTGCAAAGCATCGTTGAGAGCGGATTCGTGTTGCTTACTGAGTGGTTCAGCTGATATGACCTAAACTGTCCAGTTAAGTTCACAATAAGAGTGATAAATTTAGAAAGCGGGAGTTTCAAGAGAAATCATTACGAAATTAATTTAGCATAGAAATTACAAAAATAAATTGGAAAGGCTATAGAATGGTCATACCTGAACGGAGAGTTCGCCTCGGTGAGCGCGCATGATTTGGTCAAATGAGTCAAATACTGCTTCCAATTTGGTTAAACGACCATTCTCTGCTAGCAGCCCTAAAGAAAAAGAATTGTTGCTGTGGTCTTGCTGTCATCGTGACGAACATTCAGTTTGGTTTTTTATTATTCTTGGAAAGACTAGTGGAATAAATGAAGACAACTAAACGAAAGAAAGAAAAAAATGCAATAGCTGTACACCATATCAAGTGAGAGACTTTAGCAAAGGGCTTCCGGATAAAAGGATATTCGTAAATAAGCATTATTTGGAGATGACGGAAGCCGCGTTGAAGTCTTTGCACAAATTCAAAAAAAGAACTACTTGAAAGCTAGACATATATCAACTATTAAAAGGGAAAAAACTAGATAGTTCTAAGGCGGGCAAGGCAATACATCAAGTAATCATTGACCCACCCAAAAAGTTGACGGACTCCTTGCAAAGTCCAAGCTTCTGTGCGACAGATAGTACTTGCTCCTTCTTCTTTGCTCCTTTGAGGGTGGGATCGAGGACGAATTCCTAAAGTTCAGGGTGATATTCTTGCGGTAAAAAGGGCTTATTTAGAATGTACCTGGAACTTCTTATCTTGCTTATACACATCCCTGAGTTTTTGGAGGTCCTTGTCGACTTTATCGAGACTCTTCTGTTTGTGGGCAGCGGAGTAAAGAGCGGCTGCATAGCGTCCTTCCACGCCATGAACCTACAATATTAGTAGGATAGTTGGACTGTTATATAGCTGGATCACGATGGATCAGTCACGGCACGGGAAGGGGGAGGAGGAGGAGGAAAAAGGAGGAGGACCGAGGATAAAGATTGACCGTGACCACTAGCAATGAACGTATGTCATTGATCGTACCTAGAAACGCTGACCCGCTGAGAAGTCCTCGGAAGAGTTTTGAAAGATTTTACAACAAAACTTGCG